TATCACTTGCCTTATGCGGTGTGGAATGGTGGTTAGTTTGAGGTGTTCCTTTTTTTTCTTTTCTGATAAAGGAGTTTCTTTAAGGAGACTGATGATTAGTTCTGCTGGGTTTTTTTCCCCAGCGTTGTTTTTGTAGGGGGTGTAGCTTTTTGTCTGTTTTTTAATTTTTTTTATATAGATCTTGGTGTGTAATTTACATAGTCTTTCTCATAAGCTGTGTAAACTTTTGTGATGTGGGATGAGTTGTATTGAATGTGTCGAGGTATTTCTTTCGGCTCTTTGGAGCAACTGTACGATGTTTTGGGAAAGGGAGAAGGTGTCATGGCGATGGCCCAGATAGGTGTGATTGCTATCTGATTACTCTCAACGCGATTTGAATGAAACATGGAATAAACATGAATCGAGAAAAGAAAAAAAAGGAAGGCAGGGTATAACTCTCAAACTGCGCAGATCATTTCATCCGTATTCACACACACACACACACACACACACATGTGAAAGCCAAGAGCCAAAGCCAAATAATGCCTGCCTTTATGCCCACCATGTCCATTCCATGCAAAGTTCATATTTCATATTTACCAACACCCCGGCCACCTCCCCCTCCCCTTTCTTCCCCTTCTATATGTCTACATCAATCATCAAATTTATACCTTTCGCTTCCCTTCCCTTTCCTCTCTTCCTCCCAATTTTGTACTAGTTATTTCCCCACATAAGTCATCATCAACATCCAAACCAACCGTTTGTCCAGATATTTACCACCCCCCTGCCCTTTACCACCCCTCCCCTTACTCATCAACTCCACACACACACCGTTACTTACCCCCTGTAACCATCATCATCGTCATCATCATCATCACTTCCGGCTCCACCTCACCCTCGAACCATCCCCCCTTCTCCCCTCGTCAAATCTACGACTTGTTAAAAAACCAGCTCGACCTCTTATTCTCAACCGGAGCATTCTGCTGCTGCAAGCTGGCAATCGTAGGATTACTAGAAACAGTCGTCGTAGTATTGTTGTCACCTCCGCCACGAAGCGGCTTGGCGATTCGGCTGCCAATGTTGAAGCCACCGAGGCCAGTCGGCGAGCCCAGCCCCCTTGTGCTTCCGGCCTTCGCCGCCTCGAGCCGGTCTTTGACGGCGGCGAGCTGCACCTCGAATCTGTAGCAGTACAAAAGTGATTAGTATATACATCGCCCTCGCAAACGGGTTGTGCACCGAGACCGAGATCGTGTCCGTTCTCGGCCGCTGCTTTTTAAGTGTGCAAACACAACAATAATCATCAACAACAACAACATCATAGGTAGAAGGAACGCACTTGTGGTTCGCCTGCGCCATCTTCTCCTGGCTCTCCTGCAGCAAGCTCTCCAAGCTCTGGATCCTCTCGTTGCGCGCAATCAGCTTGCGCTCCGCAATCGCCACCTCCTTCTTCAGCGCCGAGTTCTGCTCCACCAGCTGCCTCTGCACCTGCGTGAGCTGCTCCAGGTTGCGCTCCAGAAACGCCATCTTCTTCTGCTGTGCCCGGTTGTTGCTGCTCCGGAGCACATTGTTATACTGCTCGCGAGTCTCATCCAAGGAGATTTCGAGCTCCACCACGCGCTCGCACCGGTTCTGGAGGTCGCGCATGAGACTCTTCTTCATCACGTCAAACTCAGCCAGCTGCTGCTGCACCGTCTTGCCATTGGCCATGGGCACCGCCCCGTTGGACTTGACCCGGCGTTGGAGGTCATCAACGAGAGCCTTGAGCTTCTCGTTCTCCGCCACGCGGACGTTGAGATCGGTCCGGAGACCCTCGACGAGCTCGGCTTGTGTGCTGGACTTGTCGGACAGCGTCTTGGCGAGAAGGGCCTTAACCTCCTCCTTGTCGGCCTCATCCAGGTTCCTGGACAAGATGTCCTCGTGCTCTTGTTGGAGAGCAGTCAGCTTGGCCTCCAGCTCCTGTCTCTTTTGCACTTCGGCCTCGGTGGAGGCAGCACTGAAGCTAGACAGCTCGGCCTGTCGTACGAAACCCTGCACCTCCAAGAGCTTCTCCCTGAGGGCCTTGAGGTCGTCAGGGGGGACAGGGTCGCCACTCGAGGCAATCTCGAAGAGGGCGTCTAGTTGCGCGATCGCATCGGCGACGGATCGCTCGTTGTCGCTAAACACATCCCCGCTGAGATCGAAGCCGGCAAGCATCTTGGCCATCTTCTCCGCCTTCTTCTTCTCCTTCTCATCCAGGACGGCACTGGTCTCCTTGGCGCTCATCTTCATGTCAAGCATCTGCTGCTTGAGCTCGTCCAGCTCGGCGGTAAGCTCCGAGTTGGCATCCTTGAGCCCGTCCATGGTGATCTGAGCCTCCTTGTTCTCGAATGCTAACCTTTCCAGCTGCATCTTGAACTCGTTAGACTCGCTGATCAACCTTTCGTTTTCCTTTCCGAGCTTTCCATCGTGCTCCTTGATGATGGCAAGCTCCTCCTTTGTCTCACGGAGTTGTCTCTCAATGGCGGCAGCATGTGTCTCCTTTTCGGCAAGCTGGTCCTGGAGCTCATTCTCCCGGCGCAAGAACTCTTCTCGTTCATCCTTGTCCAGAGGGAGGCTTGGTGTCCCAGATCTCTCGGCAGCAGAAGGCGTTTCAGCGCCGGTACGCTCCAGTAATCGGGAAGGCGTTGCGGGCCGGGCCGGCCTTGAGTCTGCCTTTGTGCCTGATACTCTGTCTTCCAAAAGGGGTGGGACCCACCTCTCCTTTGGCACGGCGTCGCCGGCACGCCATAACTGAACTTCGCTCTGCAGGTCGGCAATGTAATTCTCAAAGGTTGTGATTTGGTTCTTGGCCTTGGCCACCATTTGCTTGAGTTCGGCAGGGCTGAGCTCGGCGTTGACCTTGGCCTTGTTTTTGATGGATTTGGCGCGCATGCCGAAGCGGAGCGTGCTGAGTGTCTCGGCATCGTTGTAACTGGAAGGGGAGCAGTTGATAATGAGGGTCGTCCGACTGTTACCACCCAGAGATTCCTGTAGAATACGGGTGAGTTTTGAGTCTCTGTAGGGAACGTGTGATGATTTGCCGTCCGTCAGGGCGTTGATGACCATGCCGAGGGCACTCAAACTCTTGTTGATCTTTTTGGCTTCCTCTAGCGTTTGTCCGCTGGCGCCCGTCTTGCCAACCTTTTCACTACCGGCCAAATCGACCAAGAAGAGCTGACCACTCTTGGCCGAGCCGGTTTCGACATTTTTTTGGGTGATGGTGACGACGAAGATGGAATGCGATCGAGAAGACTCCTGGTTCATGTTGGTCGCCGCGACAGCTCTGGCGTTGCCGCCTCTCCTCATCACTTCGAAGACTTCCTGCACACTCGATACGTAAATCTCCAGCAGCCCCTTGACGTAGACACCCCTGCTCTTCTCCTCGTGGACTGGCAGGTTGTCGTTTTGTGGCTGCAACAGATCGCGGATGCGCTCCATGTAGATCTCCATGTAGCTGACGCGCACTGTATACTCGATATTGGCCGGGCTCGACATGATCTGGGAGAAAATCTGCTCGATGATTCTTGGAATCACACCCTTTCCACTTTCGTCGTCGATGTTGGTACCCATCATGGTGTACGATTTACCGGCACCGGTCTGACCATAGGCGAAGACGGTACCATTGTAACCGTTGAGGATATCGTCGACGGTGGGCTTGATGGAAAAGTCGAAAATGTCTGATTGCTTGCATGACATATCAAAGACACGGTCAAACGTGAAGGAGCCCTGCGCTTCCTTGGACTGGAGAAGCGTTGCATATTAGCACAGATGCAGATATGCCGGGTGGCGGTGCGCGGCCTCGAAGCAGCAACAATGCGTTGTGGTGTACTCACATCGACAGTGCAGGTGTCTGGGCCTTGAAAGGTGACAATGGGCTGACCGCCCGACTCGATTTCTACCCGATTTTGCGGGCGAAACCGAGCCACGACCTTGATGCTATTTGCGTTCGACATGATGGCAGTCCGCTTCCCGCGCTCCCGGGAAGCGCAAGTTCATGGAAGGAAAAGCAGATGCGGGTGTTGAAAAAGTTAAAAAAAAAAAAAAAGAAAAGAAAAAAAAAAGCGGCGGCGAGGGCGGCGATATCGGCAGAAGCGAGCGTCTGTGTGGCTACGTTTCTTCAAGAGTTGTCGACGGTAGTTTTGGTTGTTGTAGTAGTTGTTGTTGTTGTTTGTGGAAAGTCAGGTCGTCGTCTGGTGCCTGGGACTGCGAAGTGAACGTGTGTGGTGTGGGTTGCTAGTGGTGGTCGGGTCCCAGATCGGCAAATCAGAGATGACAGGATGCGGTCCGCTAGAAAAGCAATACCGAACGTCGTCGTCGTATCGTCTGGTGAAGGCGAGAGTGGGCAGTGATCCTGAAACGAGGGTTATCTGAGTTCTGCTGCTAGGTAGTTCAAAGTTCTAGAAGAACGTCAGGGACCGGTGGGGTATGTCAAGGCGGTCAGGGGCAGAGGAGGGGGAGAGAAGGCCGAGGCGAGTCACCACTGGACAGATGGATGGATGACAAACTCGCGGCTGAATGACGCGCTAATGGTTCACGGTCTTGGGGCGTGTTTCAACGAGCAATGCATGCCTTGAAAATGGCCCCTGCCACTCTGCCCAACACTAGACGTGGGTCTCTTGCCGGCCGATTGCAGCGGGCAGCATTGCAGATGACAGCCTCACGACAGCCTGCCACCATTAACCGTCAGTACCAGCTCAATGCGAGCCACTTCTGCCGACATCTGCAAGCCGGCTCCCGTGCCTCGCGAGTACAGACGGAAAGCCCCTGTAATTGTATGGTGGGCATTGTCTCGGGAAGCTAGTAAGAGTGGGCATCTGGAGTACCTCTACCAGAACGATGAGAAGCAAATGGTTCCAAGGCACTTAAAATCACCGCTTGTAGGCTTTGTTGCTTAGACTGATATCAGATTATATGCGTGCGGGGCCCAACTCCGTCCAAACCCCGCCCTTGCCTATGCCTTCCAACCTGTTGTAGTCCCTAACAAAATCAAGCTCCCTCTCACTTTGACAACCACACGCCCTTGCGAGCAATAGACCAAGTTATTTGTTGCACGAACCAAACGCCTGACAAAACGAATATGCCTTTGCCTGCCAGAATGCTGTTGAAAACACACAAATCCCCACTCGAAGGTGGCCAAAAACACCGCAAACTCCGGTTTGTAGTCCTAATCCCATGACACCGCCGAAAACAGCCCCCAATATATCGAGCATCAGTAGGGGCAGCTGCTGTTCAGCTCGTCCAATCCACTTCCAATAACCAACCTATGACTTTAGTCTTCCCAGCTCTTCTCCACCGTCTCCCTGACTCTTTTCGTGTACTCCTTACGGTTGTCCTTGTACAAATTGGAAGCTTCGACGTTCGCTGGAGATCCCGTGTTCGGGTCGTTGAGCAAACTGTACCCAAGCCATGTCAGCCATTACCATCCAGTCAAGCTCCCTGCTGTGTCCGCCATGTCCACCTGTAACCTTCCACGAACCTTTGAATACTCGTAAGAACAGCCGCGACATCGTACGTGGGACTCCAGCGATTCTGGAGGATATCCAAGCAGAGTTCGCCGGTGGCGTAGACGTTGGGATGGAACATCTGGCTGATGAACTTGACCGAGGGCGGCTTGTTGGGATACTGTTCTTCGAAATGCATCACGAGTCTAAAGGTTCCGTCTTCGAATGGAGTATCGGCGGGTCCAATAATGACGGCATTCCTGATGATGGGTTGGTTGGTAATCCAGTTCGCTGATGGACTTGGGTTGGCGGTGAAGAGCTTTACTCACCAAGTCATCACATTGTCTGGAACCGGAGAAGCAGAAACGCCAGCGGGAGGGTCGGTTTGCATGCGCTGAAAATCGAAAGCCGAAGGTTAGCATCGCGAAACACGTCTTGTTCATGCTGGAGGTGTTGGTAGAGTCGCCGTACCTTGAAGTCTCGCATGAGACGTCTGCGGGCTGCCGTCGACATGTTTTCCAGAAAGACGCAGGATGACACTCGATGGTGTAGGTAGGAGGGGTCTCCAGCGATGGGTAAGGAAAGTTGATGGTAGCTTGTGGCTGTCTCGGCGCGTGAGAAATCAGTGGGGAGGGCGTTCAGCAGTGGGTTGATTATGGTATGTCAACGGCGATGGGGGGCGAAACCGGTGGCGGAGAGTGAAGAAGCTCTGTTCTGGGTGTCAGTGGATGGGTGCCATTGTCGAGTGGGGGCATTTCTTATCGATTAGCTATGTGCATTTAGGTGACTCTGGCCAATCATAATTGAACCGCTCCTTAACAAAAGACATTGGCACGTGCGATCAAAGACCCAGAGCCACCAACTGGGCGTCTTCGGCGCCACTGAAAAGGCCGCTGTAGATCGGTGTTTTCTCTCTGCTTCATCTGGTAGATTATGCTTCCTGTGTTTGGCCCTGGCCTTCTTCGGTCTACCTAGCTTCTTGAAAGTATCAAAAGGACAGCCGCTACAACAAACCGTTACACCTCAACGAACTCTCCAAAGCTTTAAGGCATCCCGGCACCCCCAACTCCATGGCGGGGCTGTTTCCCCGGCTCCTCCATCATAGTCCCCACCTCCGCAAAACTCCCCGTGCACATCCCGTCAGTCCGTCACAAGCCGAGGAGTGCCGCATGTGTGCCAGTGCTGGCGGTGCTCTTTAAAGAAGCTGGCCCTCGGGAAGGGCGACCGTTTCCGATCATGTCTTGTCCACAAGTGATTTTCCCCTCGTTGCCTCTGGTCCTGGTCTAGCCTTCCTGTCTTGTCAGTCATTGCATTTAGCTTTCCGTTGAGCGAACTCTCTGCCACACCCATCATGACGGTAATGATGTCAAGGGCGCTACGCCTGTCGCCGCAACTTAAAAGCGGCTCGGCTCGGCTGTTTTCTTCACAAGCTTGCCTTCGCAAGGAGATTCGAGACGCATACATCTTGAGCGCTTCCCGCACACCAACAGGAAAGGTATGTCTTTATGAGTGTGCTACGAAGCTTCAGGTGATGCTCGTATGACGTTCTAATACGAGCTTGTGCAGTTCAACGGCGCTTTCCTGAATGTTAGCGGGCCACAGCTCGGCGCCGTCGCCATCAAGTCTGCCATCGAGAAGTCAAAGGTGCCCGTCGACAAGATCACCGATGTCTACATGGGCAATGTCCTCCAGGCCTCGGTTGGGCAGGCCCCGGCGCGCCAGGCCGCCATCTTTGCCGGACTCCCTCCCTCCGTCGAGGCTATCACCATCAACAAGGTCTGCGCTTCTGGTCTGAAGGCTGTGGCATTTGCGGCGCAAAACATCCAGCTGGGTCTGGCCGAGGCTCAGGTTGCCGGCGGCTTCGAGAACATGTCGAGAGTACCATACTACGTGCCCCGCGCGAGCAACTTGCCTCCGTTTGGTCATGTCAAGATGGAGGACGGTCTCATCAAGGATGGTCTTACCGACGTCTATGACCAGTTCCACATGGGCAACTGCGCCGAGAACACGGTGAAGAAGTACAAGCTCACCCGCGAGGAGCAAGATAAATATGCAATCCAGTCCTACGAGAGATCACAGGCCGCCTGGAAGGCTGGTGTCTTTGCTGATGAGATTGCGCCGGTTACTGTCAAGGGCAAGAAGGGCGACGTCATCGTTGGCGAGGATGAGGGGTATCTCGATATCAAGCTCGACAAGGTTCCCACGCTCAAGCCCGCCTTCGTCCGTGACGGAACTGGCACCGTGACTGCCGCGAACTCGTCGACTCTCAACGATGGTGCCAGTGCCCTTGTGCTCGGCAGCAAGGAGATTGCGCAGCAGTACGGCTCCGGCTCAAGAGTTCTCGCGCGCATTGTCAGCTCCGCCGATGCTGCCCTAGACCCCATTGATTTCCCTGTCGCTCCGGCCAAGGCGGTTCCCATTGCTCTGGAAAGGGCTGGCATCACCAAGGACCAGGTGGCTGTGTGGGAGTTCAACGAGGCGTTCGCCGCCGTGATCAAGGCTAACGAGAAGGTAAGGAAGCCCGTTGTTAAACCATCCCCACGAGTTCGTGCGTTCCACTAACGGCCAGGTAGATTCTGGGGTTGGAGGGTGCGAGGGTGAACCCTGTTGGTGGAGCGATTTCGCTGGGCCATGCGCTGGGCAGCTCGGGCTCGCGCATTCTCACCACCTTGCTTCACCAGCTGAAGCCCGGTGAGTACGGTGTTGCGGCTATCTGCAACGGCGGAGGTGCCGCGACAGCGATGGTTGTGCAGAGAATCGAGTCTGTATGAGTATGATGATAATGCTGTCATGAAAGGATTGATCCAATGGCATGTGATGAATCATACGGGAATGGTTGGCGTGGAAAAGTGTATATAGCAGGGTTAGGGTTGGCCACAGACAGCCGTGGCCTGCATTGTCTTTCAACTGAGTGGATCTCATTCACTTGTTTAATTCCCACCGCCCTGGCTTAGAATCTACTCAGCCATATTCATTGCTATTGTTGTCCCAAACCACAAACACCCCTCACGCGACCTTGTAATATTTTCCACTTTTCAACATTGATGTGGCCTACGCAGCAATGAACCGCCAAGTCGCGCCTTGAGTGCCACCCAAAAGCACTTTCACTCACTTACTAACTCACGTCCTCATCGCCCATCATGAGTCTCGCAATCCAATTCCTGACCAAGATTCGCGGCTTTGCCCTCGAGGCAGATGGCGCCAGTCTCAAAGACTGGCTGCAGGTCGAGAACGATGTCCCGGATATATACTACAACCTGGCGCACGAGATCAGATCAAACTATCCAGATAACGGGAGCGACGCCCTCGAGAAATTCGTCGACAACTGTCTTCCAGAGGAAGATAACGTGCCAGAGGGGAAGGGGTCGCCGTGGCCGGGGTTTAATTCCTTCATCAAGGACTACCTCGAGTACTGGCGCGATGTGAACTTTGACGATGTTGTCAATGTTTACACTAGGCTCAGCGAGCTGTTGATGTAGGTAACCCTTTTTTTTTCTTTTCTTTTTTTTTTTGGTTTCAAGAAGAGGGAACTGATGGAAAATGACAACAGATCATGCGCCAACGCGCTTGCTAATCCGACCTATGGTGTTATGCTCCTTCCGACGAGCATGGCCTTGTCGGAATCCCTGTCGAAGCTGGTTATGAGCCTGACTAGACAGCCGGAGGTTCTAGCGTTGATAGAAGGGGATGAGACGGGTGACGGGGAGAGCAAGTCGGTTGTTGAGATGGCGGCGGATATTATCCAAAAGTTTTTCACGTCTTGTCTGGGTGACCGCTCCAGCACGAGATGGGCACCGCCAAAGGGGAAAAAGGTGGCGGTTTATCTCTTTGCGAATCTAACTCTTAAACTCCTCTTTGCCGTAAGCTCCTCCTTCCCCCTAAATTTTTTTTTCCCACCGTAGCTCCTGACCTTTTTTATATTCAGTGCGAAAAATCCCACCTCGCCGTCCAAATGTTCACCAACCTCTCCACCTCTGGCCCAGCCCTGGCCTTGTACCCGGCCTCGCAGAGGGTAACCTTCCTCTACTACCTCGGCCGCTTCAACTTTGACAACGCGCACTACTTTCGCGCGCACATGTGCCTCGAGGAGGCCTACAGGCAGTGCCACACCTCCTTTCTCAAACACCGGCGCCAGATTCTCACTTGGTGGATCCCCTCCAACATGCTCTGCGGCCGGTTCCCGTCGGTGAACCTCCTCTCCCGGCCGGACGCGGCTGGGTTTGGGGAGGTTTTCCTCCCGATATGCCGGGCGGTGAGGTCGGGGAATTTTGTGGCGTTTCGGGCGGCGTTGGAGGGGAAGAGGGAGTGGTTGTGGGAGAGGGGGTTGTATCTGGTTTTTCTGTATCGTCTCAAGCCCTTGCTTTGGAGGTCGCTGACGAGGAAGACATACGAAATCTAAAGTCCCAAGACTAATCTCTCAACAGA